GGAGAAAGAGGCGCTCGTAGAAGATGACGTCGCGCGCGTTCTTGATTTTCTGGCTCAGGAGATCCAGAATGATCCACGCCTTGTACTCGTGGCTGATTCCGAGATGGATCCCCCAGCGCGCGCGGCTCTTGAATTTTCCGATGGTTGATGTCGGCGGGCGGTACTGGACCATACACCCCCACACGCGGAGCATGGATGTGTCGCCCTTTCTCCCCGTCCACTTCACGTGCGGTGAGGAATTGCCGGTGATCGCGGTGGTTGAAAGCAGGTTGTGCACTTGTACGGCGTGATGCATTGCGTAGGTCCAGTAGATCGGCGGAAGCTTCGACTGCCTCATTAGCGCCCGCACCTTCATCATGAGAGTGCGGTTCGTGCGCTCTGCTACGCCCTGCTGCTGGTGTGCGTAGGGGAGGGAAACGTGGTGCTCGATCCCCTTTTGCGCAAGGTAATCCTGCAGCTCCTTGCTCCTGAACTCCGCTGCGCCGTCGGACTGCCAGATCTTCAATTTCTCCCCGGATTGCCGCTGCGCGTGCGCCATCTACAGGCGGAATGCCTCGTATGCTCTGCTGCGCGCTTCCACGTTTACGACCCACACGTGGCGCGCTCCAGCGTCGACGAAGGTGAGCGTGTAGAGTTCGTCGTTGATGCCGCAGTGTCCTACGTTGAGAAAGTCGCTGTAGACTTTCTCCAACTTGGCGTAGCGGTTGGTTCCTGGATCGAGCAGGGGGAAGGGCTGGTGACTCAGCGCGGCTTCGGGGCAGATGGTGCAGGTGCGCGGGTGAGTTCCGCCTCTTACTTCGGAGCCGTCAGGGCGCAGCAGTGCGCCAGGTGCGAAGACGCCGGCCTCGATGCAGTTCTTCAGGGTCACGCGCGAAGGGTGACCTAGGCGTTGGTGCCAGATGGCATCGTCGGCGCGAAAACCGGAGGTGCGCATGTAGCGCTCGAGTGCCTCTGCGGGGTCTTCATCAGGTGCTTGAGCAGGTGTCGCCGCTGCTTCCTCGTTCTCTTCTTCTTCGTTCGCCGTTGTTAACATTAGGGCGAGAAATTCCCTGTCGCGAATGATGGAGTAGGGGATGTTGGTTCCGGGGATCGTGCCGAGGATGAATGTCGGCTCGCGCAGTTCAGGGGCAGGTCCGTAGACAGTGCGTGGCGGGGTGGTTGGCTCGCTACCCCAGTCAATGGTGTCCCAGGGGTCACTTCCTGAAGGGATGTCAGGTGGCGGTGGTGCTAATGCAGGGCGGCGCGGAGGGCGTCCAAGAGGAACAACAGGAGGTTCGACCTCAACTTGCGCTGTTTCCTCTTCCCCCCTTTGGTCCTCGCGGAAAGCTCCCCAGCCGCTCGTCTCTCCGCCAGATGCTGCGCCCCATCCGCCAGTATTGACGTCGGTTGCGGCTCCCCAACCGCTTGTGTCACCGCCAGTTGCGGCTCCCCAACCGCCTGTGTCACTTGTTCCCCATCCGCCAGCGGTGCCCCACCCCCCTTCATTGGAGGCGTTCTCTTCGTCGCCCCATCCGCTCCAGGCGAATGTGCCACGTGTCTCTGCAAGGCCTTGACGGCGAAGTTCTTCTGCTTCGCGGCGCGCCATATCCTCCTCTTGTGCGACGGTGAGTTTTGTCGCAGGGTCGCGCTGATGAGGGTAGATTTCCAGGAATTTCTCCTGTGTGTAGGGTCGCGGATTTCCTTCCGCATCGAAGGTCCCGACGCCAACGCCGCGCAGCATTCCGCGAAGGTGTTGGGATGCAGGTCCTGGGAGGGGAGCTTCCTCTGTTCCGAAGACGATGCGCGTGGCCGTCTCGAGCTCCAGGTGAGACAACCCTTCTTCAGGCGGCGCTTCCCGCTCTGCTTCGGCGATGACGGCAAGGCCGCGGCCGGCGATCGCCCTCGTCGAGGCTGTGGGCGTGTGACAGTCTCTGCAGATGCCGTCGGGGTCGGGGTCATGCAGCGCCGTTTCGCGCGGGTGTGGATGACGTGGCACCCATGGGCGCCCATCAGGATGCTTCCAGTCACGGTGATGCAGGTGTTCGAAACGCAGAGGAACGAGGTCAATGAGTTCCTGTGAATCACCGCTGCAGTCGGGAATATCGAAGTCGAGAACGTACACCCCGTTCTCGGCGTGCGCCCGTCCGATCTGCCTGCGCATCTTGTTCGGCATTGTGTAGTGGAGCAGAATATCGCGCGTCTTGGGGTCGGTGCTGAGGATGACTCCGCAATCCAGGAGTTGCGCCGCCGAGAGCAGGTTGAAACGCAGGTTCTGCACAATCAGCACGTCATTCAATGTGATGTGCGTTCTGCTCCTATGTGCCTTGAGCACAACAATGCCTTGCGTGCTTGCGCGCAGCCGCGTGTTGTTCGCCACAGTGACGTAAGTGACGGCGGGGGTGGCGACGGCGTTGGATATGTAACGCTCAGAGCCAACCATATGCTGCCCACAGCAGCTGTCCAGGTACCACGTGTTGTAGTGCCTGTTGTCGTTTCGCGCGAGCAGCGCCAGTCGCGGAGTGACGATGTGCGGAGTGTCAACCTTCAAGAACTGTTCGCGTGCGATCCAGTCGATTGGTGCCGCCCGCATGTCAGGTACGTGCGGGGGGCTCTCAAGCAGCGGGACTGGGAGATTCCAGTCCTGTTTGTCGTCGTTGCTGAAGTCGTGATGCGTGCTGAACGGATTGTTGTTCGAGGACGCTCCGATTGGGTCAGGCGCCAGCTCGGGTGAAAGTGAGCGTGCGCGCGGGCGACGAGAGCCGCTCGTCATGGTCATGTTCCCCATGACATTGCGGACGGGGGCAGCCTGTGATGGCTGCTGCTGCTGAGTTGTCGGATTCAGGTTACGCGATGGGGGTTGATACCCCTGGGCGGGACGCGTGTCGTTCCTCGCGTCTTGTCGGCCGGACCAGGTGCTCGGATTGGTCTGACGAGGGCGAGATCGGTGCTTGCATCGGTCCGCCAGGTGCCCGAAATTCCTGCAGATTTTGCAGTAGAGGCGCCGCGGCCGTCGCTCTTCCGTGTTCTCCGCGTAGAAGGCGAGGCGTTCTCTCTCTCTCGTCGTGGCGCTGGTCGCTGCTGGTCCATATCCCGTTGTTTGACGAGGAGGGCGGCGCAAAGGGCGGCCTCCGAGATGACCCCCTGCTGTCGGAGAAGCGCCTTGCAGGGCCGCCACTCGGGGCCGAGCCCTTGGAGCACGATGTTTACGAAGATTTCCTCAGAAATCGTGCTCCCCAATTTCGCGATTTGATCGCGTAAGCTCCGACAGCGATTCAGGTAACTGTTGGCCTTCTCTCCTGGTGCCATTTTTGTCTCCAGTAGCTGCTGGAGCAGGCGGCTCGACGACACTGAGTCCTTGGGTTGGTACACGCCATTTAGGTGGCGCCAGGCGTTGAGGGCTGGAGCAGGCGAGGTTTTGTATGAGCGAATGCTCAATTGCTCCGTCGGCGACATGTTCCGTAGAAGAACCCCGTACGCCATCAGGGACTCGTTGTAGTACTTGGTTTTTGCGTCGTCAGTATCCTCTGTAGGTCCCGAGTAGCTCCCGTCGAAATAATGATAAATCTGCGCGTTTTGCAGCAGCAGCTCCAGCTCGAAGCTCCAGGTATAGAAGTCTCTGCCGTCAAAGCACACACTTGTCTTTATTTTTTATATGCTCAAAAACCTTGATTGCGCAGAGAGAATTGCTTCATCGCTGGGACATGGAGTCTTGGGTGTTGAGCCGTTTGTGTCAAGAGAGAAGCCTTGCGGGGCGGAGTTCTGGCCGTTCGAGGCCGGTTGAGTGGGTTGGGAAGATGTTCCCGCATCGCCATTCCGCAATGTTTGGAGCCCTTGCTCAAGGCTCGTGAGTCGCTGAAGCAGTTGTGCGAGGACGGCGGAAGGGATCGTCGTCGTTTCCTCGCTTGTCGCAGCCGGGTTGGTCTGCGCTTCAGCCGTCAGATTCGTCTGACCTCCAGATCCTCCGGCCATTCTTACACGCGATCGTGTGCCGGACGCCACTTTTCGTTCGCCGAAGATTTCGGTGGTGGCGGTGCGAAGGATTCCTGGGTCGCTCTCATACCATGTTGCGATCAGAAGTTGATCAACCTCAGGATCACCTCAGGAAGGTTCGCACAGTTCTAGTCTAGTGGTGGTGGGCCCTTGACCTCAATAGCATAGTGAATGTAAATGCTTGAGATAATAAAAACATGCAGTACAAGGAATATAAATAAGAGTACAAGGGAATTCGAAACGTCCTAGCTAGCCATGTACTCTAAGGGGTACATTCCCTTATTGCATCGAAATCCAACCGTGCGACTCCGGGTGGTTACGGAACTGTTCGGGCAAAATCCTCGCCACTGCTGCTGCCTGATGCTGTCTGCCCGACGGTCCAGATGCTCCTCGTAACCGTGCGTCCCTTCGCATTACTTCCGCCCTTTCGTCTTCGTCCTCGGTAGTACATGCTTCGCTTGCTACGGTGAGGAGTGTACAATAGTGTTTCAATAATCACTATTCGTTACATGGGTTATGGAAAAATTTGAGCGCGATGAAAAAAATTCACGAGAGCAAAGCCCGCGCCGCGGTAATTCTCCCCCTTTATCTGTTCGATAGCCCCGCAGCATGCGGCGGGTTCGTCGTTCATGTCTTCTGGGTCACTTGCCATCCTGAGATATGTATTTTTGGTACAGTTGAGAGTATATTTGTATATAAGTTTATATAACCTAAAAGGCCTGAACTCTAAAGGAATAAGGGGGCTTCAAAATTCTTGCTTGAGAAGAATACAGGTAAGAGGACCAGACCCAGATTTTGAGACCCTGCTCGTGGACTGTTACCTGATTTGGTAAAACAGAAAAGAAACGCCTTCTTCTCGAAGCAAAGCCCAGGTATGTAAGCGGTTACGGGCAAAGTCGGGGATAGAATCTGTGGAGCGTACGAATTGGATCACCAAGGAGAAGCATCTCAACTTCAGTTTGGTTTGTGATGCAAAGGTAGTCCATGCTTCCAAAATATAAGCACCATGCTTTACACAAATTCTACGCATTCTATCCGCCCAAATAGCCCGTCTCAAGGTACTCAATAAGCGGAACATGCACATCCTGCACTGCAGTCTCGCTCAACAGCAAGTCGAGGTGAGAGTAACTAGGCAGCTCCAAATGAGTCACGGTGGGACCAGCAGCACCAGCACTGGTGGTGCTTGCAGGCCTGAGCTGCGATAGTAGCTTCTGGATGTTGGGTGGGTCTGCAAACCAGTCGCCGCCACCACTCATGATGAGAATGGGTACCCCAGCGGGCATGTTGGATAGGTAGTACTGCCAAACACAAGCAGTAAATTGGGAGAGAGAGGAAGAGGGGGTTGTGGAAGGTTCAGAGACCGAGAGGGGGAAAAGGGCGTGGGGAGAAATAAGGGTCGGGGGTGGGAGGGTGAAGGGGTTGTGAAGTGGATTGTGATAAGGATAAACTGGAGTTAAGAGAGGGGAAGGACGGAGGTGCAGTTGCATCTCTCCAGGAGCAGGGGAGGTGCACATTCAGACGAATGAGCCTGCACTGAAGCAGGGGAACTGTTTCTGAGACGTCACACAAGTAGGTAGATGTGAAGCGATCGGGGCAGTATGGGAGAGGGGTGGAGAAACTGACACGAATCAGCAGCAGAAGAGCTGGAAGGTCAGGTGAGAAGCGAAAAGTGGGTGGTAGTTAAGAGTGAGTGAAAAGCGACGAGTGGGAGGGAGGGGTGGGTGTGAGAGACAGACCATGGGAGGGGAGACAGCGCCGTAGCGGTCCATGTTGGCTTGCGCACTGAGTGCATCCCACTGCTGGAAGAGACCATTGCGGATCACTGCCACCATGCACACACACATGCACACATACATACATACATAATTACAGTGAGGCAGGCATGCAGGCGTCAGACTTTTGAGTCTACTCAAAAGTCACCTAATTACAGTGAGGCAGGCATGCAGGCGTCAGAGCATACGCGCAGGCACAGGGAGGTGAGGAGGGGCCTTCGCTACAGATGACACACAGCAGGAGAAGGGAAGAATAGGGAGCAAGCAGCAGATTGCAGCGGCATGACCCCTTCCCATGACCCCTTCCCATGACCCCTTCCCATGACCCCTTCCACGCCGTCCCCTTCCCTTGCATGCCTCTCCATCCCATGCCCGACCCACTCACGCTGCTGGTAGTGAATGAGGTTGCGGTATGACGTGGCAATCCACCCGGGCGTGGGGGCAGCAGGGGGCTCCATAGGGTCCGTGCAGCATGGGGTGCCTGGTGTGGGAGTGATGGGACAGTGGTGGGGGGGGATGAGAGGGAGGGAGGGAGAGGAGGGAGAGAGAGGGGGAGAGGAAGAGGGAGGGAGGGAGGAAGGGTGGGGAACTGAGGGCTGTGATGAAGGTATTGTGTGGTCTCACAATGAGAGCTTTGGTAAGGTAAGGGACACAGCATAGCAGGCATGGTACGACATGGCCCAGCAGGTATGGAATGTGCGTATTGACATGCGAAGCCTGGTTGCATGCGTGGTTGCATGTGTGGTTGCATGCGTGGTTGCATGCATTGTTGCATGAGTGATCGCATGCACGTGGGAGAGGGGGGTGTGTGAGAGAGTGACCTGTGATGTTGGTGAGCAGGTCCTGGGGGTCGCCCGTGGTGACAAAGTAGGTGAGCATGTTGTACCCCACCGCCTCCAGTATGCCCGATAGGATCTCCGTGCTGCTCCCATGCACACCCATTCACACCCATGCACACCCCGGGACAGGAGGGTAGAGGGACGAGGAGGATAGAAGCGGAGAGAGGCAGATAGGCATACCGACCAAAGCAGACAGGAAAGGAAGAGACATGCAGTGGCAGGCGCAAGTGCAAAGTCAAACACTTGTATCAAGATGCTGTAAGTCACACGCAGCACGGAGCACTGAAATAGTGGGGGGCGTGCGTGACAAGCAGTTGCGGCAGGTTGTGCATGAGTACGTGAAAATAGAAGCGTGTGCGTTCAGACTCCAGGTGTATGAAGTGAGATAAAAGGCATGTAAGTTGGAGATGAAGGCACGTACGCAGAAACATTGTATGCGCCGTACAGGAGATGAGCTTGGTACACGGCCTGGTTGCATACAAGGGAGAATGGGCGAGAAGCAGGGAAGGGGGAGGCAGAAGGGCGCATACAAAGGAGATTGAGGGCGAGAGCCAAAGGAGTGTGCATACGTCTGGGAAAGAACCGCACGCGGCAGGGGTATGAATCACAGACGATAGGAGTCAGAATCGTGCGAGGGAGGGTATGAAGCACACAAAGCAGGCCGCGAGAGGCAGGAGTAAGCAGCGCGGGAGGGGCAGGACTCTGACTCACAGCGTCAGGCGAGGGCCCGAGTGCCCACTGGCGAAGCACAGGCGACTTGACGTTCTGGAAGAAGACAGTTGGCGCCACAGACGCCACGGACGCAGTGACACGCTCGAGGTAGCGCGGGGAGGTGCTGCCCAGGGCGAAGGGCAGCATGCCTCCCTCGTTGAAGCCCAGCAGATGCACCTTGGGCGCGCCTGTCACTCCCAGCACGAGCTCGATCGCTGATGGAATGTCGATGGTGGCCAGCTGGTCAAAGTCCCAGTCCCAGTATTGCTGGTGGGCAGAAGGGAGGGGAGCGGAGGTGAGGGGAGGGGAGGGGAGGTGAGGCGAGGCGAGGCGAGGCGAGGCGAGGACGGGAAATTGGAGGAAAGGGACGAGCGGAGGGGAGTTTGATGGGAACAATTATGAGACCGAGAACTTAAAAGAGAGGGGCGGACAGGCAGATAGGCAGAGAGGCAGAGAGGCAGACAGGAGGAAGTGAGGGAGAGGCGACTTACCCACTGGCGGGTGTTGTAGGCGACATGACCCGGGGAGAACTCAGTGGAGCGGTGGTTGAGCAGGAAGACATCGAAGCCCCGGTTGCACAGCCCCACGGGCACGCGCTTGGCAATGAGCGGGTCGGAGCCGGTCTGGTTGGAGAAGGCGAACCAGAGGTCGCTGGCCATGAACATGGCGTGGGACAGCAGCACCGGGTACCGCGGCAGCACACGCGCCTGGGTTTGCGCCTGTGGCTGGGAGGTGGAGCGTGCCTGGGCGAGAGGCTGGGCGAGAGGCTGGGCGAGAGGCTGGGAGAGGGGCTGGGTGGAGGGGAGACTGGTGGTAGTCAGCTCCTGGCGCTGGAGCTGCTGCTGCTGGGGGCGAAGCATGGGACGACCGTACGGCAGGGACGGAAGCTCAGGCACAGCAGCGCTTGATGCTGCTTCTGCTGCTGTTGCTGGGCGTGAGGTTGCAGCAACAGTAGGAGTAGTGGTGCTGGTGGTGGTAGCAGGGGTGGTGGCGGTGGTTGCCCTGGTGGTGGCAGAGGGAGCGAATAAGCCTGCAGCGGCTGCACTCACTGTCCGCGCTGCTGCTTCGGCTGCTGCCATAGCAGCCGCACCGGCCGCAGAAACGGCGTTGGTGGGAGTAGGCGTGGGTGTGGTAGTCGTGGTGAACGGAGTTATGGTAGCAGCAGAAGTGGAGGCGACGGGCATGGTGATGGGAGGCGCGGTGACAGACGTGTTGGTGATGCGCTGGATACTCAGAATGTACCCATCACTGGTGGTGATCTGGCAGACGGGCACAGAGAAAGGGAGGACGGGTGGGGGGGGACGGGCGGACAGGTGGTGGGGCAATTTAGGACGTGGGAGGTAAGGGAGGGGCAAGGGCGGTGGGACGGAGATGAGTGGAGTGCAGGCAGACAGGCAGGCAGGAAAGCAGGCAAGAAGGCACAGAACAAGGCGGGCCATACAAGTGAGGCAGCTCTCATGTTTCAGAACGAGGCAAGATGTGTGAGTGTGACTCAAAGTCCAGCGCTTAGGGGCAAACACGTGGCAGGCACGTGTCACCCACCCACCTGGTACTCGCGGCACTGCAGCCCATAGGGGCGCACGAAGCGGTCACAGAACCCCGACTCCTGCGCGCGCCCCACCTCCCTGCCCGTCGCCGACGCCGTTGCTGCTGCTGCTGCTGCCGCTGTGGGCTGGGCTGCCGCCAGTAGCGGCGAGGGCGGGAGCCAGGGGGAGGAGTACGGAGAGAGCAGGAGGAAGAGCGCGAGGAGGAGGGACGCGGGGAGGAGGGGCAGGCCGGGGATGGGAGAGCGGAGAGGCTTTGCCATTAGAGGACGTTCGGCGGGGCGTCCTCTGGGAGGGAAGGGAGGGAGAGAGAGAGGGAGGGAGGGAGGGAGGAGAGAGGAGGAGGTGCGATGCACCCCAGTTGAAGCTCTCCTCCTACTCCGGATACCACTAATCTTGCAGGTGGTATTACAGCTTCTAGTGTTGCACGTTGCGGTGGTAAAGCTCCTGGTGTTTGCACGGGATAGCAGCGTGTGAAGGAGCACTGGACGAAGAGAGCAAGCCGGGGAGCAGGATTTATGAGCACAGGTCACACCCGCACGTGCCTATCTGCCTCTCTAGGCTTCTCTGCCTGTCACCTGTGTGCCTCTGCTGCCTGGCAGCGACCAGTGGAGAGGACGGTTGACAGTTGCTCGTGAGGCACCTGCCGGAAGTTGATGCGCTTTCTTGAACCCGTCAGGACAGCACGTCCCCGTCAGCCTTATGATCCAATCAGGAGAGGGAGAAACGAGCGACACTCCACCACCACCGTTCGCTGCCCCTGTCACCTTCCCTGTCGCTTTCCCTGTCGCCTTCACTGTCCAGGGACAGGCTGTCACCGTTCCTGTTGCTAATCGGCCCAAGGCCGCGTGCTTGCTGTCCGCTATCCGTTGACTTGTGACGATCGAGTAGCGGCTCCGATGCACACAAGTGAGCGAGCCGATTGTGCTCGCAGCTCTGCTTGCTTCTAGCGCACTGATCACCGAACCAAACAAGCCTCGAAATCCTCGCTGCTGCTGCTGCTGTGGCTGCTCCGGCTATTGCTGATTCTCGTCGTCGTCGCACCAGTCTGAATGAATGACTCATCTCCTCACGTCGGCGGGTATTTCTAGACGTCGTACACTCTCGTGACCCGCCCCTCTCCGCGGCTCTCGTCGCACACTGCCAACACCTCCCCGCGTCCCATCACAAAGTCGCCGAGTCGCTCGAGGAATTGAGTAAAACGATAGAGGGGCACATGCGCACGGCTTGGGGATCGTCGCTGTCAGCAGAAAGATAGACACGCAGAGTGCGCTGGTCACGTCCGTCGAGCATCGAAAGATAGGACGGCCCGATAGCTCTGATCGCTTGCATCAGGCTTGGAACGGCGCTATCACCCCGGCGCGAGGTTTGGGAGGGATCGAAGGTGGCTCGATTTTAGGATCCGTGTCCCATCACACGCACGCGACACGGTGTCGCTGCGTTGGCAGCGCACCTCCACTGGCAGTCGCATGCTTGTGCACGGTGACAAGCTGTCGCATCATCGTTTTAGCCGCAAGGTCAGGCGGCAAGGCACAAGCGAGAGGCGGGGGATTTCTGCGGGATTTCTGGGAGCGCGGGGAGGTGTCGATGCTGGTGGTAACTCCGTCGCGGTCTTCGCGACATATTATGACGTCAGAATACACGACTTCGTTGGTGGCGAAACGGGGTATGCGAAACAGTCTCAGCTGTGCTTCGGTGGCGGAAACGTGAGAGCGACTGCTGCTATGCATGATGCCACGTGATTGACGCGGGGATTCTCGGGCAATTCGGACTGCCTGTGGCATTGCCCGAATTCGCCTGGAAGGGGAATCGCTAGACGTCGTCGCGGATGCTGTCGCATCGACGGAGGCGACGATTCGGGGGAACACATGGCGGATTCGGATAGATCCTCGCACCAGCAGATCCGACGAGTGAGACATTGTGGTTATCAAGGTGGCCTTGGTGTGACGAGACGAATCGACGCGAATCATCTTGGCGTTGAGCGACCCCGACGGGCTTGGAGTTTTCCGTCCGGAGAGGGGCACAGATCGTTGTGGCGCCTTGTCTTAGGATGAATTCGAGAAATTGAAGCGCGGCGACGTGACGTTGCAGGTGCACATGCCGACCCATGGCATCATTTCTAAGGAGGCGGTGAGAGGGAAAGCAACTTGTGTACGTATAAATAAATGGTGTGTTTTACGTAGAAGGGTTTTGCGTGTCAATTGATAGGCACAGTTTGCGTTAAGCAGGTGGTGAGTAACGCGTACAGCCCATCTCAGGCTCCGCCCCGCAGGTGCAGGTAGGGTCAGGTGGGCTGAAATAGTTCAGGGAGTTTCGAAAGCTGAAACCCATGTCTGCAGCATCTGGCTGCTGCCGAACTTGACCCGCCGGTTGGACCATTTCTGACCAAATCGCAGGGGATTGTACGAGCGGGAAGGCTGGTCGGGGGCATTCTGGACGGGATTTGCAAGCGACATTGGCAAGTGCGATGCGTGTGCACAGTGAGCTGCAACAGTTACCACGTTTTTGTCTGTTCCAGGCATGAATCTGTCGTTCCCCACCGACCCTAGGGTTTTTGACTTGTAGCGACGAACCCACATCGTGGAGACGTCGCTCCGGAGTCGCTACAGAGCACACAGTGTATCGGGTTAAAACCTGCAATTCTGCAAGAATGTGACTTCAGACATACAAGACAACAAATAATTATAATGTCTGACTATTCATGTAGTCTCACCTTGGTCTTGGTGGAGCCATTTTCCATGTCCCCTACAAAATCCTCCAAGTTTAAATCAATAAAAAAATCAATGCTGAAATCTCGGTCACATGTTATGGGCTTTCCTTCACCTATATCACAGTATTTAGAAAGCTTGCTTTCTGTTGAAATGTGTGTATACATTTATATACCTGCCTACAGTAGATCCTAGTGTAGTTACATTTCCTGTAATGGTGGTGCACCTCCTTGTGTTTGCCTATATCTTGAACGGTATTTCCTTTCTCATAATGAACCCTCTTTGGCCAACTTCCCTTCCTCTCGATACCATCGTATGCTCCTTAGCTCCTACTCTCCTAACCTAACTAAGTTCAGACTTTAACACTTTCTTTTACTTATCATTTGGCATCGTTCTCATTTCAACTGGCAAATTAGAACATGCACTTTGAGATAGGAACAGAAGTGCTAGTACATATCATTATACTAGGTATCCAACATTGTACTAGCTATTAATCATGGTACTGGCTAACGGTCTTCTTGTTGAAGCGGCGACACTGATGTCCATCGGTGTTGGGGCGGGGGGTGGGAGAGTTGTATGAGCCGTTGGGAAAAATGAGAGACGTGGGTGGGCCAAAACAAGCGTTTCAAGCAGCTGCGCTTTCGAAATACGTAATTTTGAAAAACACTTCGTGTGTTTAAAAATTATCATATTTATATACTTGATGTGACATGCTTGCGTCCAAGACACAACAATGTTGAATTCACTGACTTCACCTGCGGCATTTCCCTAGCTTCATGCAGCTCTTTCATTCAAATATGCTCCCTCTCCTCTTGTCAGGCAGCTCTCAAAGTTAGCGAACAACGGAATATGTGAACTAGGGAAACAAGGGATACAAATAGCAACCCTAAAAGTGTTGTACTCCCTATAGTGCTACTCACTGTAGCCTAAGAACCTATAATAACATTTGACACACCCCCATAGGCTAAGTGAGGGGCATCACAGCAAGCAGAGTGAACAAACGGTCACAAGACCAGTCACTGCAAGAAGCAAAGCAAGCTCAGGGTGGATCTCAAAGACACCACACAAATTCCGAGCACAAGAAAGCGGCCACAAGGCCAGTTCAAGAGTTCACTAGGATATATATAGCAAAGCACAACAAGCAGAGCAAACAGCAAGTCTACAGCAACCGAGGGCCTACCTCAACAAGCCCCAACTGCACACAGAACCTGTGGTGGTCACCAAGCGCCAGGGCCTTGGTGAAGACGTCTGCAGTGCTGGCCTTTGAGGCCACAAAGTCCAGGCGTGCCTGGCCGCGTCGCTGCAGCTATCGCAGAAGGAAGTACCTCACGTCAATATGCTTCACTCTGCTCTCCAGTCGAGGCTCTCGACAGAGGAGGATCGTGGCCTTGTTGTCAGCGTACAAGGTCGGTGCAGAGCGAGGCCGCTCACCAAGGTCGGCGAGCAAGAAGGTCAACCAGCGTAGCTCCTGTGCCGCCATGGCACCAGCGTAGATCTCTGCCTCTGCACTGGAAGTAGCCACAGACGACGACCGTGTAGACCTCCACGACACAGCACCAGCACCCAGACTGAAGCAGTAACCCTGAGTCGAGCGCTGAGTCTCCACGTCGTCAGCGTAGGAAGAGTCGCAATGACCAGTCAACGCCACTGGCTGAGTCCCTCCAAGCACAAGCCCCATGCCTGATGTAGTCGCCAGGTACTTCGCCACCCTCACAGCAGCTGTCCAGTGGACAGGACGGTGTCTCCCAGTCGCAACAAAGCGAGAGAGGACGCTGAGGGGAAAGGCGAGGTCCGGCCGAGTACAAGTCATCAGGTACATGAGGCAGCCCACCAGCTCTGCGTAGGGACCACTGGGCTCAAAAGACTCGTCGGGAAAGGGGGCCAGTGAGTCTGTGGTCAACAGCAAGAGGTGTGGGCTGTGTGGTGGAGAACTGGAAGTCGAACCGCCGAAGGACCTGCAGCACCATGTGTGACTGCGTCAGTGTGATGGTGCGAGCGGCTCTGTCCCTGGTGATCTGCAGGCCAAGGTAGCGCTGCAGTTCACCTAGGTCAGTGCACGTGTGTCTCTTCTGCAGTTCGGACTTCACCTGAGCCAGAGCTGCCCTGTCTGCTGTGGCAAAGACCAAGTCGTCGACGTACACTAGTATAAAGAAAGGAGTGGAACCAGTGCGAACAAACAGCGACGGGTCGGCAGAGGAAGGACAAAACCCAAGGTCACGAAGCGTGGAGCGAAGAGTGTCGTGCCACTCACGGGGCGACTGGCGGAGACCGTAGACTGGTCGTCTCAGGCTCCACTGGGTCCCAGGTGGGAAGGTGTCAGTGAAGCCAGGAGGGCGGCGCAGCCAGATCTCCTCGTGTAGTCGGCCCTGGAGAAACGCAGTAGAGAAGTCAAGGGAGTGCAGCTCGTAGTCTCGCTGTGCTGCTACGTGCAGTAACACCCGAAGAGTAGTCATCTTCGGGGTCGGGGCGAAGGTCTGGAAGAAGTCAACTCCCTCACGCTGACTGAAACCCCTAGCCACGTAGCGCGCCTTGAACACAAGCGGTGAACCAGGCGGCCGCTTCACCTTGAAGAGCCACATG